CTCTCTCTCTCTCTCTTTCTCTTTCGCTTCCTATGTCTCATTGGTTGCGTTTGTGATCTCTACCTCTTTCTCCCTTCCTCCCGCACTCCCTCCTTTCCACCCCTGCTTTTCCTTCCATATATAAATATAGGTGTGTAGATATTAAAATTGTCACGGGCACATGCCATGCGGTTTATGGCTCCACCAGTCTCACAAGTCGAGAACCAGCGACCAAGAACAACACTAAACACATTCTGCACGCAGCCACGCATTAAGGATGGTATGGGGTACGGGTCCGAAGTATGGATGTCGAGCACAGCAGCATAGTCTTCAACAGACAATCGGGTGGTAGCATCATTAGCCATTGCTGCTGCTGCCCCTCCCCCTCCCTTCTCTCCCCTTTCCTCCCTCCCTCTCGCCCTCGCCGCCCCCCTCCCCCTCCGTCCCCTTCCCCCTCCCCCCGTAACCGCCCGCCCCCCGCCCCCCCCCCCCCCGGGCTCCCCCCCCTCGCTCTCCCCCTCCCCTTGCTCCTCCTGCCGCTCCTGCTGCTCCTCCTGCTCATGATCCCTCTCCTGCAGCCGCTGCTGCTCCTGCTCGGAGGAGCTGCCTTCTCGAGGGCCTCGACGCCAAGAGAAGCCACCTCATGCGCTGCTTCGAGGAGGACTTGGACCTGCATCCCGAGGAGGAGTGGAGCAGGGGCGAGGCAAAGGAGGAGGATGGGGGAGGAGGAGGATGGGGGAGGAGGAGGAGGAGGAGGAGGAGGAGGAGGAGGAGGAGGAGGAGGAGGGGGGGAGGGGGAGAAGGAGGAGGAGGAGGAGGACGAGGAGGAGGATGAGGAGGAGTATAAGCATGAGAGGAGGAGGATCATGGGAGGGGGAGCAGAAGAAGGAAAGGTAAGCTGGTGTCTGGAGGAGGAGGAGAAGGAGGAGGAGGAGGAGAAGGGAGGAAGGAATACATGAAGAGAGAGGGACAGAGGGAGAGGAGTCAGAGAGAGAGGGAGCGGGAGAGGGAGAGGGAGCGGGAGAGCGATGGGGAGAGGGAGAGGATGAGGACGAGGTTGAGGATGAGGATCAGGATGATGTTCAGGATGATGATGAAGATGCTGATGATGATGCTGATGATGCTGCTGATGATGCTGCTGATGCCGATTATGATGAGGATGCTGATGCTGCTGATGATGCTGATGGTGGTGATGATGGTGATGCTGATGATTCCGATGCTATTGGTGATGATGCCGATTACGATGATGCTGATACTGATGATGATGGTGATGATGATGATGCTGATGATGATGGTGAGGATGATACTAAGGATGATGATGCTGTTGATTATGATGAGGATGGGAATGATAGCGAGGATGATGACGAGTATGATGATGCTGCTGATGCTGCTGATCATGCTGATGCTGGCGATGATGGCTGCTGCTATCTATTATGATGAGGACGATGATACTGACGACGACGAGGATGATGATTATGATGATTATGATGATGATAGTGGTGATGATGATGATGACGGTGATGCGGATGTGGATGAGGATGAGTACGATGATGGTGACGATGGTGACGATGGTGATGATGATGATGATGATGGTGATGATGATGATGATGATGATGATGATGATGATGATGCTGACGATACTGATGATGATGGTGATGGTGATGTTGATGATGGTGATAATAGTTATGTTGGTGATGAGGATGAGGATGAGGATGAGGATGATCATGAGGATGACTATGAGAATGAGGAGGAGGAGCAGGAGGAGTAGGAGGAGGAGCAGTAGGACCAGTGTAAACCCAAGACCCATCAACGATGTTGGAATACATCTTCCCTTCAAGCTGCCTCTTATTGGGCTTCTACACGGATGCATTTCCATTGAAGGAAGTGTCCCGTCGGGGGACAACCGTTTATAGATCCTGAAGCGTGCCAGAACACCATTCCCAGGATTCCAACGCCAACCTGACTGTTGCGTGTTGACGATCCCGAATCGTGCTAGAGCACCATTCCCGAGACTTCGACACCGCGACTCAATATCATTGTTGCGCCCAGACAATCCTGAATCTTTCCAAAACGCCGTTTCTGGTACGTTAACCATGGGAAGCCGTGAAACCCTTGCAGTTTTTTGAACGACTGTGCGCGGCGCTACGGCCAGAGCCGCATTTGGAAATGGAGCCGTCCTCAATCCTTGAAGCCCTTGTGAACTTTGAAAGACGAATGTGCGCGGCTCCTAAGGCGAGAGCCACATTTTGAAAAAAGTGACCGCCTTCAACCCGTGAGTCTGGGGCAATTTTTTCACACGAAAGCGCCCAGCGCTAAGGCGAGAGCCACATGTTAGAAGTGACTCGCCCTCAATTTGTGAAATTGTTGCCAGTTTGAAAACTTGGATGTCCCAGGCGAAACGCCCGGCCCGCGCTTCCGACCGGCCTCGGGGTGCGACAGGGAGGAGGTATTTTGAAGGAAAAGAAATGGAGGAGGAGAGGGGGAGGAGGAGGAAGAGGAGGAGGAGGGCGAGGACGAGGACGAGGGTGGTGGTGATGATGATGACGATGATGATGAAGAAGAGGAGGATGAGGATGAGCGTGAGGATGAGGATGAGAATGAGGATGATGAGAGGGAGGATGGTGATGAGGACGAGGTATGATAAAATATGGTATGGTCTGATACGGTCTGGGATGGTATATAGGAGGGTCTAGCTAAACTAGATCATCCCCTCAGCTTCACTCATCCCTTTGGGCGCGCCATGAGGGTTTTCGGAGACCTTCTGGAGCGCCAAACGCCTTAGCTCCCAGTCGTTACCTTCGCTGCTTCCGCCTCTCTTTAGGGCCTAGGGTTGCGTGCCGCTGCACGCGTTTGGCTCAAGATAATCGTGAGGATAGGAGGCAGCTGGCGTCTTAGCGGAGAAAGGTGCGCGCGCCCTTCTTCTTTCTTTATCTCGCGCGTATCACTATCCAGTCTCACATCTACTTAACGGAACATTCAGCTATATTGGACGACATCGTTAAGAGCCCATCTATTTCCACGATCCGTATGAAGGAATCCCCAGCGTTAGGAGATCGGAGCAAGGCAGACGTTTATTCGTCAGGGAATGCCGATTATCTGACGAAGCAGAGGTTACCAACCGAATAGATGGATAAGGAACTTGACGCAGTTAGTCGTAATGATCACCGCAGGAGCAGTAACTCGAATAATCACAGCAAGTGCGGTGAAAGTGCGAAGTTCGTCGAATCGCCGGACGATCTCGTCAGATGAGCCTTGAATGCGGTCGAGGAAGCATAGGACTCGAGGATGCTTCCAGTGGAAGGGAAGAGCCCCCGCGGCAATCAGATCAAGGATCGGAAGTATCCACCATATCCCGATCAATGACGGGGCAGCCGGGCAATAATCGCCCCAGGCCAGAGGTGGAATCGGTTGTGCAGAAGGCGGGGCCTCGTCGTCGGCTGACGGCATGAGGACCCCGCCTGCAGCGTATGTCATGGCATGCTGGAAGGAACTCTCGGCTGCTCGGGATGCTGAGATCAAGGATGCAGTCTCCGAGCCTGTCGAGGTATATCGGCGGGGTTCGGTGCCTTTGGCACCGGTCACGTCGACTCTGCAAAAGGAGGCGAGGATGACGGGCACAGGAGGAGGAGGAGGAGGAGGAGGAAGTGGAGGAGGAGGACGATGTGGAGAAGGAGGAGGAGGAGGAGGAGGGGAATGTGGACAGGACGGAGGAGGAGGAGGAGGAGGAGGAGGAAGAGGAGGAGGAGGAGGAGGAGGAGGAGGAGAGAAGAGGAGGAGAATGCGGGGGGAGGAGGGGGAGGAGGAGGGGGAGGAGGAGGAGGAGGAGGGAGAGGAGGAGACCGAGGAGGAGGAGGAGGAGGAGGAGGAGGAGCAGGAGGAGGAGGAGGAGGATTAGGAGGAGGAGGAAGAAGAAGAGGAACAATAATATGACGAATCTAACAATAATATTAATAACAACAAGAGTATTAAGCACAATAATAGTACACATTAGTACACATAGTAGTACTAATAATAATGAACATAATAATACTAACCATAAGAAGAATAGTAGGAAGAAGAGGAGGAGGAGAAGGAGGAGGGGGACGAGGAAGGGGAGGATCCCAGTGCCATGTGACACGCTCGAGTCGTTGGCCACGGCCCAGGGCCCGCAAAAATGGTTCCTGGCGCAATCGAGAGCGTCGTGCCAGACCTTCCCACGCTCGAGCAATACGTTTTTAAGCGCGGGTGCGGGAGAGGAGAACTGAAGGTCCTCGTCGTCCTCCTCCTCCTCCTCCTCCTCCTCCTCCCCCTCCTCATCCTCCTCCCCCTCCTTCTCCTCGAACTCCTGCTCCTTCCGTCCGAGAAGGATGAGGGAAGTAGCCGCCGGAGCGAAGAGGATTGGGCCTGTCCCATGACAGACGCCTCGACCCGAAGTTGCCGCAGTAGATGCCGAGAAAGATTCGCCAGTCCGGTTTCCCTGGCAGGGCGCAGGCCACGGCGGCCTTGTTGCTGGCCCAGCGCAACATTCCAGGGGACTTCCCAGGCAGGATGCGGTTCACGATGGCTCTGCCGTCGGTTCCGTGTCGCCTCCGTTCAGTATCGCCGACCGGGGCATAAGCGGGGGATTCACGGGACGCGAGATCAGACTCACGCGGGAGATTCACGTGACGCGACCTCCAACCTTTGGCGTCCTATTTTCCTTTTCCACATCCACCGATCGACCTCCAGCGTCCAGCAACTCCAACATTACGACCTCCAACCTCTCGCAGGCGACTCTTCACTTCTACCTCCACCGATCGACCTCCAGCGTCCACCAGCTCAGCACTCCGACCTCCAACCCCTAGCATCCGACTCTCCACTTTCGACTCCACCGATCGACCTGCAACGTTCACCAGCTGAACATTACGACCTCCAACCTCCAGCATGCGACTTTCCGCTTCCACCTCCACCGATCGATCTCCCAACCTCCACCAGTTCAGCATTCCAACCTCCAACCTCCAGCATCTGACTTTCCACTCCCCCCTCCACTAATCGACCTCCAGCGTCCACCAGGTCAACACTCCGACTTGCAATCTCCAGCACCCGACTCTCCACCTCCACTTCCACCTACCGACCTCTAACGATCACCAGCTCAACATTAAGACCTCCAACCTCCAGCATCCGACTCTCCACTTCAAGCTCGACCAATCGACCTCCAGCGTCCACCAGCTCAGCGCTCCGACCACAAACGTCTAGCACCCGACTTTCGATCCACCTCCACCTATCGACCTCCAGCGTCCAACAGCCCCGCATTCCGACCTCCAGCATCTTGCATCCGACTCTCCACTCCCACCTCTATTTATCGACTTCCGACGCCCACCAATTCAGCATTCAAGCAACCAACTTTTAGCATCCGACTCTCGACTTCTACCTCCACCAATCGACCTCCACCCTCCACCAGCACAACATCCCGACCTCGAATTTCTAATCTCCGACTTCCCGTTTCCACCGCCAATCGACCTCCAGCTTATGTGCCTTCGGCTGCGCGTGTATCTGCGCCCTGAGTGGTATCTGAAGGATGTGACTGGATTGGAATTCCGAGGCGTCCAACTCGTTCGTGTTTGGCTTGGGCTTCGCGGTTACAGAAAGGACGATGACATCCACGGGATTCTCCGACAGGCTCATGCAACAGACACTACGACTTCAACGAAACTACGTCGTTACATCGGATTACAACAGAGGGGTGGGAACAATTGGAACATGAACATGTGAGGTACGCATTATCTTGAGCAAGCCTCCGACGCGCGCTGCCTCTCATGCGAGGCCATGGCCTCACCCGCCTCGCCCTTCAGGGGCCCGGGCGCATGCCCGCACAGGCGATCCGATCCGATCCGATCTGAGATCAGACTTTCCCACTAATCCCCGTGAGGTCAAAGAAGTATGACCAGGAGTTGTCGCGCACCTCGGTACAAAGTTCTGAGAAAGGAGGTCGAGTGACAGATGTTCATCGGTGCTGGTGAGTACCAAAAGGATGACGTCGGTTGCCCGGTCAGATATGTCTACCACGAGCCGAATGTCCAGCGGAGAAAGGTGTTGGAGCCCTACAGACAGTTGCCCCGAATATGCTGACGATTGCTGTCTGAGAATATCGGGTAACTGTAACCAGTCGGTGTGTAATTCATGCTCGGGTACTTGAGCAGTGCAACATTCACTTCCAACGTGCTGACGGTATCGAGCTATCAGGGCATACTTTTCACGCCATGATAGAAGCCGCGTGAGAGGCTGCTCATCAACAGGAGACAACCGCCACCTTGGCTCAGATGCTGGAGCGACTTGAAGGACGTATCTGCCCCATGAAGCGTAAGCATCACGAGCCAGACCAAAAACAGCCAGGTGAGGGCTGAAGGCTGCCGGAGATTGGGCGAAGGCCGCAGAGGCAAACGAGGTGGAGACTCGCTTGAACGCAGGGCGCCCGTGCGAGGCATGTGCCACAATGCGCGGGGGGAGGCCGTGCGAAGTTGCCCCCAGTGGTGCCAAAGGTGGAGCCCGCTCCCGAGCACGACTCGCGTGCACGGTGTGCCGCCACTGGGGGGAGGAGGAGGAGGAGGAGGATGACGAGGAGGATGAGGAGGAGGAGGAGGAGGAGGAAGAGGAGGAGGAGGAGGAGGGGGAGGGGGAGGGGGAGGAGGAGGAGGAGGAGGAGGGGGAGGAGGAGGAGGGGGAGGAGGAGGAGGAGGAGGGGGGAGGGGGGGGGGGGACGATTTGCATCTCTGGGGTTGTGGGTGGTGTTCCCTGTGGGGCACGTTCCGCGTGAGAGGTGTGCCGCGATGTGCGGGCGGGGTGGCGCTAGGCAAGCCTTGCCTGTAAGGCCGTCGATGGGGCCCTCTGTGGGGCACGATCAGCGTGAAAGGTGTGCCGAAGTAGGCGGGGGGGGGGCGGGATGGGAACCGTGTCTCTGGGGCCGTAGGTGGAACTCCCTGCAGGACACGATCCGTGTGAGAGGAGTGCCGACGTCAGTGGGGCGACGGTGCGCGAAGCTTTCCTTAAGTGCAGATACATGCGGGGCAGCACTATCTGTGTGAGCGGTGTGGTGCTATGCAATGGGGCCGTAGGCGGAGCCCCCTGTGGGGCACGATCCCTGTGAGGGATGTGCCGAGATTGGTGGGATGCCGCATGTGGAGCTTCCTGCGGGCATGATCCTTGTGAAGGATGCGCCGGAATAGGCGGGGAAACGCTATTCAGATATGTATGCTTACGGTAGCGCAGGTGTTCGCGCGTGGTGATCACCCACATCGTGGTGGGATGGCGCGCGTACCCATCCGCTGATTGATGTGACGTTGTTCTTACTATACACATATGTATGTATGTATACATCTGCTCACCTTACAGAGATATTCACAGTTTGTTGCTGCAATTCTGCAGCCAGTGCATTTCCGTCGGTTCGTCACCGCCACCGACGGGACCGCCACGGGAATTCAGCGTCGGGAGCCCCGCCCCTCTCCTCCTCTTCAAGCCCCTCCTCCCCCTCGAGAACTCCTTCCTTCTCCTCAGCCTCCCCCTCCTCCTCCTACTCCTCCTCCTCCTCCTCCTCCTCCTCCTCATCCTCCTCCTCCTCCTTCCTCTCGATCCTCGAGGTTCGAGGATCAAGGGTGGATTGAACTTCCTTCATCTCTGGGCTTCTGGAGGCCTCCCAAGGCCTCTGGGGCCCTCTGGAGCCGCCCTGGACATCCAAGACTCCCCAGAGACTCTTCCTCTCCCTCCGCCTCCCCTTCGTCTCCCCCTACTCGATCCCAGTTGTTCGGCAGACTCGAGATCGTTAGCTCGTGCTGCCGTGCAGGCTGTCGAATCTTCCCTTGGCGGTGCTCGTCGATGGCGGCAGCGGCGGCGATGATGAGGACGTGACATGGCCACCCCTATGACGCTCCAACCTCCCCTTCGTCTTCCTTCCTCTTTTCCTCCCTTCTTTCTTCCGACTCCCTTCTCCTTCTGCTCCTCCTTCTCCGCTCCTCCTCCTCCTCCTCCTCCTCCTCCTCATGCTCCGGCTTTCCCCTCTCCCTCCTCCTCCTTCTCTGGAGGATGGCGAGATGGAGAGGAGGAGCCTCCTTCTCTTTCTCCTCCTCCTGACTCTCCCCCTGCTCCTGCTCCTCGGCCCCCTGCAAGGTGGAGACAGCGCGTTCGAGAGCAGTACAGCCCAGAGATTCGGCAACTGGACAAGGACGTGGCGCAGATGAGCCAAAGGTACGTCTTCGTCGCGACCGACGGCTGACCCGTGCGCGCGCAACCCGCGGCGCGCAGCTGCATGACCGCCGGGGGGTGAGGAGCTGAGCTGTGACGACTCCCAGGCAGCAGAAACAGGCGGCGCGTGCAAGGAAGGACCGAGGACTGGCTCTTTGGACGCTCTCGAGTGCGCTTCGGGCGCCCCCCCGCCGCGCCAGGGTGGGCCAGGGGGGCGGGGCCAGGGGGGCCACCCGCCTGGAGGCCCTCGTGCCTTCCGGGGGGCCTGCCTCCAGCCCAGACCTCCGACGCCGTGCTTTCCTCAGCGCGCGGTCTCCGGAGCATTCGGTCCCCTCTTCGGGACGGGTTCTTTTCCATTGACGGCCTCGAGCCCCAGAGACGGACTCGGGAGCCCGAAATGGGGGAGAATCTGCTGGTCGTGTCCGTAGCGACGCCTTGAGGTCCAGGAAAGAAGTGCCGATCCCTTCTGAGAAAAGCCCTGCCTTCTCAGCAGTCTCCTCCTCCTCCTCCTCCTCCTCCTCCTCCTCCTCCTCCTCCTCCTCCTCCTCCCCCTCCTCCTCCTCCTCCTCCTCCTCCTCCTCCTCCTCCTCCTCCTCCTCCTCCTCCTCCCACCCCTCCACAAACCGCCCGTGGGTTTCGGGGCCGGGAGCGCCCCTGAGGATCCAGCTGGAGGTGAACATGAGACGCTGCGCACCCAGTCTCGGAGTCCTAGAGATTGACACCAACACCAAGACCGGCGGTGAGCATCCACCGAGGGAGGAAGATCCCGATCTCGGTGATGGTGGTAATATTCTGGCTTCCAAGGTGGCCGAACTATTGCCACCAACACCGAAATCTAGGATCATCTTCCCCCTGTGGAGGCAACCCCCTGTCTTGGTGTTGGTGCCAATTTCCAGGCCTCCGACAGTCACTTGGAGGCTCGAAATGATCGATACGAATTGTTTTCCGTCATGTTGGGCCTTCAGGGGATGGTTTCGGGCCCCGTGGACGTCAACATCGGGATGAACAACTGGCCACGGGGAAGGGGTCGAGAGGTGTTTGTGGCCATGTTTCGAAAGAACGGGCCGCCTTGTGTTTGTTTTTTCTGCTCTCCGCATTGCGCGTTGTATATGCGGCCTTGGTTCTGTGGGGACCACCGTGCCACAAGTCGCTGACTAGGGTGTGCAAGACACTGTGAGACGAGGTCCGCGATTGGCATGCATGTGTGAAGCAGCACGTGCAGAAGCTGTAATCCGTATTTGAGGCAATCGGCGCCTTAATGCTTGACTCAATCATGATGGGCATCATGCACTAAGCAGCAATCTGCGAGGCTAGACGTGAAGCACTATGCGACGCAGGAAGCGAAGCACAATACGCATTCGAATGTTAATCGCAGTATTTGTGACGAGCATGTACCGTCGATCACAATCTGCGAGGCAGGTTTCGCAGTGATGTGCCTAGCAGGCCGCAGAGCGAGACGTGCTACTCGTTGAAAGGGCGATGCGAGCTGTCTTCTAAGCCTGCTTTGAGGCGAGATGTCAACGAAGCGCAATCTGGCGGCGCACAAGGGAGTTGGCGCAAGTCTGGCGGCTTTCTGTGGCGGGGGGGCCTTCTCAGAAGACAGATGCCTTCCTGAAAGAGCTTAGTGGCTTCCGAGAAGGCCTCTCGGAAGCCGGCAGGGCTTCCAAGAAGGCGCCTGCCTTCTTCGAAGCCCCCCCGCCTTCTCAGAAGGCTGCCCCACCCGCGCCAAGGATAACAGTGGCCACAACGATCACAACAACCAGCGATAACGATCAATGCAGTTCTCCTGCTGTGCTCGGTGGAGAGAGCACGCGACATGGAACAACAAGACTCGCCGAGCACTTATCATCGTGATCGTCGTCGTCGTCCCCGCTGCGGGCGCTGCCGGGGCAACGCCCGCCGGCTCCGTGGCGCGCAGGCGCCGCGAGCGCCGAGGCCTCGTGCCCGTGAGCCCCCCCTCGGCCCCCGGCGCGCCGCGTCCCGGCAGGAGCACGGGGAGCACGTGTACCAGGTGGTCAACGCGGGCTGCGCCCCGAAGGACGCCACGCGGTGTCGGTTGTATCATGGAGGGTTGCCAGGGTGTCTCGTTTTTTTTGTTTTGTTGTTTTTTTTGGTTTTCCTTCCGGTATCCTGTGATGGTGTTCTTGATGGCAGGGTTGGCGCCTCCGCCTCCTCACCTCACGTCCCCCTTCCTGCTCTCTCTCTTATCGCACCCAGATCACTCGTGCCCCGACTCACGCGCACTCAGATTCACTCACGCTCAGATTCACTTGCAGTCAGAACATTCACATGTGCGTCATAGCCAGAACTCATACCCACTCATATTCAAATACACACAAACTTATCATTACCCATATCCAGGCTGACATCCAGAGTCACCTGCACTCAGCCTCTCATACTCAGACCCACTCATGGTAGTATCCAGACTCACTCATACTCAGACTCACTTTTAGACTCACTCACACGTAGACTCACTCAAGCAGAACACTCAAACTCAACTCAATCAAGCTCGGTCTCACGCAAAGGCGAGTTCACTCATACCCAGACTCACTCATACTCGAACTAACTCATTGTCATGTAGGAGGCATAGCGTTTTAGCGCTCCAAGGAGGGGCCGCCAGGGGTATTTCATTCCCCATATTCGGAGATGGGTTCTTGTCCGCACATTAAGATGGGTTCTCGTTCCCCATATCCTACGATAGGGGGCGTCTTGCTATTCAGTCACGCCTCCGCCTCAGATCCTCCGCTTGCTCCTCATTCCTCTCCGTTGCTACTCCTCCCTTCAGTCACTCATCACTTGCACTCAGACTCACTCACACTCAGACTCGCTCACTCTCAGGGTCATTCATACTCATCTTCACTCGCACGGGTCATAACATTCAGGCACCTATACTCTCTATGACTCATACACAGAACCACTCACACCAAATTTCTCACACGCGTATGCGCTCGTGCTCATCGCAGTCATCCTAAGACTCGCTCACACTCAGCTCACCCTCTTCACATGACTGCAGACTTCTGTGCTTCGAGAGCCCCCTGCCCACCGCCGCATCAGCGCCGCTGCGAACGGAGAAACACCCCGCTGAGGGTGGAGGTCTCCTCCGTCGCGTCAGGCGTTGCATTTGGGCCGCTTCCTCCTCCTTCGCCTCCTCCTTCCTTCCCGGACTGTTCCGCACACTCCTCCTCCTCCTCCCTTCCCTCTTTCTCCTTCTCCCTCCTGCGGCAGCCCGAAAGAGTGCTGGGGCCAGACAAGCGAGCTCTCCCAGGAGCTTTGTCAAAGCAGGGCTCCTGGGAAGAAGCTTGAACCCGGAAATTCCTCCCCCCCCCAAACCCGAAAACGGAAAGGGCCAAACCCGAAATCCCGAGGAGGCCCAAACCCGGAACTCCAGTAGGGGCGAGATCAGACAAGTTGGGAAGGGGTCTATCTAGAAAAGCTGAGGGGATCTCGAAGGAGGCAGGGCGAGATAGTAGGCGGCAGGAGGAGGTCGGAGGAGTGGGGTGGGGCAGGAAATGTTAGCAGGGATGAGGAGGTAGGACGAGCCATGGTGCAGCTGGCGGAGGCTGCTACACGAAGGAGGAGGTAGGGCAAGGCAGACGGAGGTCGGATACCTCCGAGGGCAGCGGAGAGGGTAGTGGGACACACGTGGATTTCTTGGGCTTATCATCGGGTTCTGGGTAGCGCGTCGGCGAGTGGTGCTTTCCATCGGGTACCTTTGCGTGGTCCGTTCGTGGTGCCTGCGGTGTTTTTGGGGTATTCTTCGGTGTATGCTTAGGTCGGGCATGTCCGCCTGCAGGCGGTCTTTGGACGAGAAATGAAACAATAGTTCAAACAGATGCGGAAATCGTCAAACATGGTAGAAACATTGTCTCCATAGCATTTTCTGATTCTGTTTCAAGATTCCTTTTGTAGAGGGACATACCCGACTTCAGTGCATGCCAGCTTGTCGTTGCCCTGTTGCGAATGAAATGGCGGTGTATTTGTTGCCGCCCCGCGACGTTTTCACGTGGCGAGTCGAAAGGAATCTTTGTTTTCGCCTCCCAGGCGTTGCCACGCGGCGAGAAGAGTGAGATTTGTATGCGTTGGGTCCGCGCGGCATTGCCACGTGATGAGTCGAGCGTAGGTGAACTTATTGTTCGCTCCCCATACCATTGCCACGTGGCGAGTGGAGTGGGATAGTATTGTTGTTTGCCTCTCAGGCCTTGCCACGTGGCGTTCCCGTGTTGCGAGAAGAGGGGAGTAGCATCTGTTCCTGGTCCGCTTCGTTGCCACGTGCCGAGCAGAGTGGGGTGATGTTGCTTCGCCCCACAGGCGCTGCCACGTGGCGAGGACAGTCCAGTAGTAGTTGTTCCCCCTCCGCACGTTGCCACGTGGCAAGGCTACGTAGTGGAGCCGTGCTTGTTGCGCTCCCTTGGCGTTGCCACGTGGCGCGCGCGCGAGCGGGCGCGCGAGCCACGAGGCGGGCCGGGGGCGGGCAAGCGAGCATGGCCGGCGGCGGCCGCATGGACAAGCCCGTGCTCAAGGCCGGCAACAGCTTCCACCAGGTACCGCGCGAAGCGCAGCTCCTGGCCCGAGGTGCGCGGCTGCGCCAGGAACCCCGTCGAGCACCCTCACGGCGGAGGCAACCACCAGCACGTCGGCCATCCCACCACCACCAGCCGGAACGCGCCCCCGGGCGCCAAGGTCGGGCTCACCGCCGCGCGGCGCACCGGCCTGCTCAAGGGCGGCAAGGGCAAGATGAGCAAGTGAGCCGCCCTCGGTGGGGGCGCCCAGCGCGCTCGTGCAGCTCGGCGTCGCGGCGAGAGCACGGAGCAGACGGGGGTGGAGGGACTGCCCGTCTTTCCGATTCTGTCTCGTTGCGCGTCTCTCGTCGTCGCCGGCGTCCTCCTCAGAAGACTCCTAGGTGGCCCTTCAGGACTCGCACACGAAAGCAGGAGAGAAGGAGACGGCACGGAAGATACCATGATGGAACACACAACATAATTTCGGGATGTTATAGAGAGCCACATTGAATCTAACAGGCATGCAGTATAAGGCCATCTCCGAAGATTCTTGTAGAATTCTTCACGATTCGCGTATCCCCACCAGCCCATTCAGAAACGCTGCCGAGTAGAGCTGATCTTCTTG